TGTTACAGGAGAGTGAAATCAGGGGAAAACTCTCCCCTCACATGAGATAACACTCTGATAATGTCTTTTTTTCATGGAGAAACAGGCATTTCAAAATGATTATTTTCCCCTTCCCATGTCAGAAACATGAGATCTTTTCTTTTCTCTTTTCCTTCCTTCCTTCCTTTCTTTTCTCTTTTCCTTCCTTCCTTCCTTCCTTTCCTTTCCTCTTTTCTTTCCTTCTTTCTCTTTCTTTCTTTCTTTTTCTTCCTTCCTTCCTTTCTTTCTCTCTCTCTCTCTCTCTTTTTCGTTCTTTGTTGTGAGCATTTTTCATAGTTCCTGAAGATAAAACCCATGAAAGTGTGGGAACTCCCCCAAAACTACAGTTATTACATGATTCTTATACTAATTACTCTAGTTCACATACAGATTTCAGCAACTTATCAAAGTTACTACTGAAGTGTTCCTACCAATTTATGGTTCTGGCAGGTTCTGCTATAGGTAAGTTGATCTTGACCATGGTTCTTGTATTGTCTTGTCTGTCCAGGTTTAAGAGTTGTGGTTTGCCCTGCAACTTCAATTACTGAGTGGATATAAGAACAGTCATTGATTTTCAATTTGCTCAGCTTTTTTCTTCTTGTAGGGATATGAATGACAATTTTTAAGCTCTTTACTTGTCAGAACTGTAAACTGGAAGATATCTCTAAATTCATTTGAACCAACATGTATAGAATATTAGTTTGAAGGAGTACCAAATTATTTGTATATTTTTAGTGTTCCCACCTGTCTCAACCAACCCTGGATAGGAATACAGCAACTAAACCTGAATCCCATGTTAAAGGCAGACACTAAAATGAAAAAGATTCTGATAAAGTCTGTGTGAGAGAGGAAAATCCAAAATAATAAATTTTGAAAATAAATTTGTGTTAATGGACCAAAATAGTACAGTTGAAAGCAACTGTATAACAATAATGCAAGCATTTGAAAGAAAAGATCTAGAACATAGTATCTATTATAGATACTATGATTAAGCAAAACAGATAAGAGGTTGATCCTATTCAAAACTTTCATTAAGGGTTTTGAAAAAGAGCCTTTTAGCTTTCATGATCAAAAATCTTATTCAAAGCAGAGGCTACATGAATCTCATATGTTTATTGCAGCATTATTTACAATAGGCAAATTATGGAAGCAGCCCAAGTGTCCATCCATAGATGAATGGATAAAGACAATATGAGGTATACACACACACACACACCCTGGAATATTATTCAGCCATAAAAAAAGAATGAAATCTTGTCATTTGCAATGATGTGGATAGAGCTGGAGAGTATAATACTAATCAAAATAAGTCAGAGAAAGGCAAATACAATCGATTTTTCTCATATGTGGAATTTATTAAACAAAATAAACAAACAAAGGAAATAAAGGAGACAAACCAAAAAACAGATTCTCTAGAACAAACAGATGGTTACCAGAGGGGAGGTTGGTGCTGTATGGATGAAATAGGTGATGGGATTAAGAGCACACTTATCTTGATGAGTTCTGAGTAATGCAGGGAACTGTTGAATCACTATATTGCACCCTTGAAACTAATATAACACTGTATTTTAACTACACTGGAAAATAAAATAAAAACCAGTTGGACTTTCAAACATCCCTCCAAAAGGCAGAGGCTCTGAACTCATGGCCCCAACACATAATTAGGCTGATTGGCATACATTGCTTTACAAAAATGAATTTCTTGCTGACTTTTAATGATTCAGTGATTTCCCTAGAAAATCTAGATGCTCCAGAAAAACTTGGTTGATATTAATCCCACAGATCTCTGCAGGAGCACACACTTACCTTGTCCCATTTGCCACAGATGTCTCTAGATTGTCACACTTATTTCTGTATCTGAGTCTTCCAAGCAAGTTTGTCTCCTAAATGAATTTATTAGAAGTTGGGATTAAAGAACAAACAAACAAACAAGGCCCTAGTCAGTATTTTATAAAACCTGAAAGTCACATAGAAAGTCACAGTGTTGGTTACATTCCAGTAACAGGTCTATTCAATTCACTTTTCCCATGGATGGCTTCTAATAATTAACATTCATCAGTCAATAAAAAAGCACACATAAAGGTATTTACATCATTTTTCTGATCTTCATAAATTTGGATTATTGATAATAACTACCTTTTCCTTATTTTCTCCATATCTTTTTATTCTGTGTCAACTTACTCCATTTTGCAAAAAGTCTGACCAACTTCTCTAAATCCATTTTGTAGATTATGATTCAAGACATGGTTATTACTGCCACTATGTGGCTTGTTTTGGAAGTACTTAAAAGAAAACATTTAGAGATTGCCATCTTAAGGTTAGTTATATAACCTTGACATTTTGTCTAATTTCAATAGCCCATATCTACTGATACACTTTTCCCCAAGGAAAATGCCCAGCTAATAGTATATTTTCCTTTTCTTATTTCATCTGCATCTGTGTGGTTGCATGGGAAACACACAGAAATGCGAACACACACAGAAATATGTATGTACATGTGCATACAAAATCTCTATCTGTTTGCATGTATACACACACACACACACACACACACACACAAAGCTAAATATATGTATATATACATATATATATACTTACAATATATGTATATCTGCTGCATTGTCCTTATTTATGCAAATGATTGCATAGTTTGCATAGTTGTTTTTTTTTTTAATGTTTATTTTTGAGAGAAAGAGAGAGACAAAGCATGACTGGGGGAAGGGCGGAGAAAGGAGGAGACACAGAATCTGAAGCAGGTTCCAGGCTCTGAGCAGTTAGCACAGAGGCTCTGAGCTGTTAGCACAGAGCCCGACACAGCGCTTGAACTTGTGAACCACAAGATCATGACCTGAGCTCAAGTCAGACACTTAACCGACTGAGCCACCCAGGAGCCCCTAATGCATACTTTTTTGTACCTTGATTTTATTCTTTTCAATAGTTGTATAGTTTTTATTTGTGGGTATATCTATTGTTTCTGTTTTTCTTTTATGTTTTCTGTTTTGTTATTAAAAACTGCAAAAGAAAGAAAGGGAAAGAAAGAAAGGGAAGGAAGGAAGGAAGGAAAGAGAGAGAGAGAGATAAAGGGAGAAAGAGAGAAAGAAAGAAAGAAAATGGGGTACCTGGGCGGCTCAGTTGACTGAGCATCCAACTTTGATTTCGGCTTAGGTCATGGTCTCATGATTTATGAGATCAAGCCCCACATCAGGCTCTGCACTGACAGCATGGAGCCTTCTCGGAATTCTCTCTCTCTTCTCTCTCTGCCCCTCCCCTGCTCACACTCTCTCTCAAAATAAATAAATAAACTTAGAAAAAAGAAAATAAACTTTAAAAAAGGAAAAATTGTACCACTCACATATTGTAGTGATATGATTTTGAACTTTTATAATTTTACTAATGGTAAATCCTAGAAGTAATATTCTAGATTAAAGAATGTATTGGGGCACCTGGGTGGCTTAGTCGGTTAAGCGTCCGACTTTCACTTAGGTCATGATCTCGCGGTTCGTGGGTTCAAGCCTACGTCGGGCTCTGTGCTGACTGCCAGCTCAGAGCCTGGAGCCTGTTTCAGTCTGTGACTCCCTCTCTCTCTGACCCTCCCTTGCTCACGGTGTCTCTCTCTCTCTCTCTCTCCTAGAAATAAATAAAAAATATTAAAAAAAAATAATAATGTATATTTAATATTTTGGGACACATTTGTAATTTGTATCCCAACATATTTGCACCAGTTCTATTTTTCTTGAATCTGTAAGTTTACTAGATCTTCTTGAAATTAATTTCTCTATTCTGATTTTTATCCCTTTACAAAATGTGTGCACTTGTACACCTTTCATATGTATATTGCACATCTGTCTTAATTGTTCTGTCAAATTCTTGTTCATACATACATTATATATGAATATCCAGATTTTGAAATTTTCCCTGGATTGGTTAGCATTCTAAAAATGTCATTTCTTGGGAGGGGCACCTGGGTGGCTCAGTTGGTTAGGTGTCTGACTTTGGCTCAGGTCATGATCTCATGGTTCATGGGTTCGAGCCCCACATCGGGCTCTGTGCTGACAGCTAGCTCACAGCCTGGAGCCTGTTTCGGATTCTGTGTCTCCCTCTCTCTCTGGCCCTCCCCTGTTCACACTGTCTCTCTCTCTCTCTCTCTCTCTCAGAAATAAATGAAACATTTAAAAAAATTAAAAAAATAAAAATAAAAATGTCATTTCTTGGGATACTTTTTGTGTGGAGTTTCTGGAAGAGAAGCCCTGCTGGCCCTTATTGCTTGTTCAAGTGCTGTGTGTCCAGAGAATATTAAACTTGACAACTTGCTGCCTGGTTGAGATGACATGTGATGGTTTCCTTGGGACAAAGTTTTTCATAATGGGTCACCTCTATAGGTTTTCCTAAAGGTTCCTGAGCCTTGTATGTCAAAGGTGAAACCAAGGCTTAATAACTATAAAGAGTGAAATGCTTTTAAATTTCTCTTGTTAAACATGGTAATTACTTGGTAAAGGCTGATGGAGGGGAATGGTAGAGGATGGTGGACAGATACTCTGAATCAATATTTTCCATAATTCTGAGAATTTTCTAGGGTTCACTCAATCAGCATTTATTGAGTTCCTACTACTAATAGTCCAGCTACTAATGAATTTTTTGTGTGTATAAAATGTACATTGAATAAAAAATACTTGTGTTCCTGCCTGTCAGGCAGTGTGCCATGAGTGTAGATTGAAATGAGAAGACATATTTAAAATTCTAAGCTGAAGAACCCTCCTGGATGGACCTTATCTAAGCACAGAGTGTTTGGAGGGAGGGCAGAGACCATACTCAGTGTGTGAGAAACGGGGTGCAAATGATTTCTCTATCATTCTCCTGATCAGGTGCCTGGTGGACAAGTTACTGGCAAGTTCAGCAACTTTTCCATATCTAGCTATGGTTTTATAGGCCCTCCCCTTATAACTTACCCTCCAGCTCAACTCTGTGCATGTGGTTTCCCACAGTATTCAAAGGCGGAAAGGCATCCTGTGACTGCATTGGAGAAAATGATGGAGTCAAGTTTTGCCGGCCCCCAGTCATTCCCAGAGGTCCCTTCTCCTGACAGAGGAAGCCAATCTGTCAAACACCACAGGTACAGGTAGTTACTCATGGTGGGAATGGGCACGTTCACACTATGTATTACACTGGACGACACATGCCAAGAAATGGTGATCTTATTCAGGAGAGATGATTGTTCTTGCTTCTCCTGTAGTTCTCCATGGAGTGGATGCTCAAGCAGCTCACGGCAGGTAAACCAAAGATAACATCAGGCAGCAATGTCCCTGTAAGAAGCCTGAAGTAACTATTAACAACACCCATCAAAGCTGCAGACACAGACCAGTGAATGAAACAATTGCATTCTGAAAACTATTAAAACATGACTTTTCCTAGCCTGCCTTATCACCATCTGCAAATTTAATGACTAATTCTTCCCTAGGAAGCTGATGTGACACACTCCAGGTCTTTCAACATGGTTCTTACACAAAGAAAACCTTTCAGGGAGAGGATTCCCTTGGCAGATCTTAACCTGGGTTTATAAGATCTGTTATCAATGGGGTGAATCTCCTTTGCAAGCTGACCATAGAAATTGGGCTGTTTGGGGAAAAAAGCCCAAAATAAAGTTATCTTATCAATTGCATAACATTCTGAGGCCAAACAAGTTCTTCAGCCTCTTCCAGTCCCATGCATCATTTTACATACAAGAATCTGAAAATGGAAAGTCTTTGCTCTATACCAAGTGCCCAAGTTTGGGACTAATGCTATATTTACATGCAACTGAATCTATACCCTCAGTCTTTGTGGAAGTTGTGGAATGATTTAAGCATCCATTTCTTAGTGAGAAGTATAGTATTTTAAGTTTTTAAATATATATATATATATATATATATGAAAAGATTAAATTTAAGAAAAGGATAAGGTAAAAAATAATAGTCACTTATCATGGTGAGCATTGAGTAATGTATAGAATTGTTGAATCACTATGTTGTATTCCTGAAACTGATATAACATTGCATATCAACTATACATTAACAAAAACTAAAAAAAAAAAAATTTTCCCAGAAATGACAGATAAATATTGTTGACCCTTCGTTTTCACATATCTATTCAATGTTTTGAAAACCTCCATGACAGAAACACGCATTATACAAGGAAACTATCTTCTTCCTTGACTCTCAATGAGTCCCCTAAAAAAGGATTTTTCTTGAAGCTGGCCACATTTACTGGGAGGTTTTCAGTCACTCTTGATACTAATCCTCATTATTGGATGGTGATTTTTTTTTTCTTATTCTACAAGAGTAGAGACTGAGATACCAAAGTTTTGCTAAGTCTTTTTTAATGGTTTAAATATTTTCAACTTGGAATTGAAATATGTTTGGCTATTGGATAATTGCTTTTATTAACTACCAGTTGTGGTTTATATCAATTGAGGCATTTACAGATAATCCCCTGTTAAAAGAGCATATTAGTTCACTGGATCTAATGGAAGTTCTTTAATTAGAAAAATAAGTCCAAAATTACCAGCCTTTTATAAGATGGATATTTTCTCTAAAACAACATTTCTCCTGCTGATTATAACACATGTTGAAGTGGTGTTCCAGCCAGCTGAGTAAAATAATTATGTATAATATTACTCTAGTACTATATTATGCCATCAATGTTTTAAAGTTGAAATGAAGAAGAATTACAGTTTCTAAAAAAAAAAAAAAAAAAAAGAATTACAGTCTCTAATGTATTTGAGCTGTAAATACCCTACCCGTACTCCTTGTCTGTTGGCAAACCCTCGTCTTCAATTTGGCTTCTATAATATTTCTAGGAAAGACTCACAAATTAACTAAGGTTGTCTTTAAGAAGTCTTTCATTTTGTTTGGTTCAGTGACACTGCAGTATTTGTTGGCATACACTGTGTCCTGATAGATAGGTGGGAGTTGATTTATAAAGCGCTTTTAGAACTTTGTAAATTATAGTTTAATATATCATAGCTTTTGTTTTGTAAAACATGCAGTAGACTTAAACGTTTTCATGATTGATAACCTGGTCACTGATTTATATACCCTGCAAACTGCTCCATAACTTCCCGAAAGCCACTGGGTTAGAAGGCTTGAATAGTTGATTGATCAATAGGTGTAGAACTGTTTTTTAAGATGGGTCACTAGTTCATACTGGAAGACTTTGTTGTTGTGACAGTTTGGCTAGCTATGCATAATTAATTTCTTTTTGTGCACTGCAAATATGACTTATTTGGATAACTCATAACAAAGCTATTAATTCAAAGCCATTATTTCTCATGTTTAGTTCAAAGGGAAAAAAAAGCCTCTTTCTTCTTAAAGAAAAATCTATTATGCCATGGCATACTTATTACATTATATTTTAGCAATATAACTCTTTTATAGACAGCACATATGAGAAATTTTTTTTAGAGTGAAAAAAGACCAGGGTTTTCAGTGATGAGTACGAGCCTTTGAGTTGTCACTTGTAGTGGAGGGATCAGGGAAACTCATGGCCATAGCACCTACTATGCGCCAGGCTCCATGCTAGACACGTTACGTAACTTTTCTTTTAGCGCTATAGCCGTCTTATGAAAATACTTAAGCATGATGCTGATACCTTTCTTTTGCACATCTCCTGGCTATATCTAGTTGTTTTTTTTTTTACCTTTTTCCCCCTTGGCCCTGTGCGCTGAAAGAGCAGCAGTTTCCCTTGTCCACTGGCTTCTATTGGCTCAATATGAGGCACAGGCAAGAGCTGGGACAGTGGAAAGATATAGCAGCTGCAGCCCTTCTGCACCTTCCCTCGCTGCCTGGTTGCCTCAGCTACATCTTTTGTCCCTCTTTCTGGGCCACAGTGCCTGCCAGGTGGTCCTTGCCTTACCACTCTACTTCTCTTTCCATTCTGGTAGTCCCCCTCCCTTTGTCCCTTCAGTTATAGGGATAGTAATAGCTTCCCAGTGTTACTTGACCAGACATACAGAAAGACCTCGTGTTGGCTTCCCCCCCCACACACACACTGAAGACACATCTGTAAGTAGTAAAATCTCCCCCAAATGACCCAAATCAGAGTGCCATCTCTTTCCCTGCAGAACTCTGGTAGAAATACCTCCCCCAGTACCTGAGATGACCCCCAAATGCAGCTAATTCCAGTGCCACGGCCTAAGTACCCCCATGGACTCCATAATAGCTCTTGGAAAATACACATAGAAGCCAGAAGGAGGGAGAATAGCTATTAGAACTCTTTAAACTTGTTGTCTTGGAGACCTAATTAGAGGTCTCAAGTTGTCAAGAAATATTATGATAAAGAATGAAGGTATGATATGTTGCAAGGTATGACCTGGTATTTGCACAAACTTAGGAAGCTGATGTTGGCTTGAAGGATGTAAACTTTGATAAGTCACCTTGCCAAAACTAGGAAGGGGTCTATGGGTACTCAAACATTAGGCTCTCAAACTCTGATCTCAAATTCTATTTGAAATGTTTAGTTTTCTAACAGTAATGTTGCTGGATGGAAAGTTACAGAACTCCAAATCATGTAGTGATATAGGTAAAATTACTTTGGGAGACTGGTCCCTTTAGAACTTGATAGGTCTGCTGAAATTTTGAAAATATTTTTCATCTTTTTCTGCATGGTTTTACTGATATTTTTAGAAAGGCTTTTATGGTATTTTTAGAGTCAAATGAGAATGCAGCAAGAAATTCTAAGTTTGCTTATCATGTGAACGCTGCAGAACCAGCTTGACCACATAAATTGGCATCTCATGGAATTTCTACATAGGAACAGAGTTCCTCGTACTGTCCCCATGGTTGTAAGGTAAATTCAGTGTGGGTGGACATGCAAATGGGATAGGTAACTAGTCAAATTACCAGATGATTATTATTTTATTTTTAATTTTTTAATGTTTTATTTATTTCTGAGAGAGAGAGAGAGAGAGACAATGTGAGCAGGGGAGGGTCAGAGAGAGAGGAAGATACAGAATCTGAAGCAGGCTCCAGGCTCTGAGCTAGCTGTCAGCACAGAGCCCGATGTAGGGCTCGAACCCATGAACTGTGAGACCATCACCTGAGCCAAAGTTAGACACTTAACCGACGGAGCCAACCAGGCGCCCCACCAGCTGATTTTTATAAAGTCTAGTACTTTTGTTTAGCGTAACCTATATAGGAATCTCATCTAAGATATATCCCATTTATGCCTTTTGCCCTCTAATGGCATCTGAAAACATGGTTATCTGGGTATTTGGATGTATGAGTCAGATAAAATATGTAATCAGATGTTTAATAAAAGCCATTTCAAAAGAAAACCAATGTAGTTTCTCAAGATTGAGGAAAATTTGAGGTAGTGACTGCAATTTAGCACATAGGTTAAAGAGAGAATGCCAACTCAAATGAGGTTTGTTTATTCTATCATTAACACAAGTGAACTTTTCCCCATGAATCCCTTAGGGCTCCTGTGTTTAGTTTTTGTCAGTGTCTAATAACAAAGCCATTTTTATTTTTATTAGAGAGGCAACTACTATATCATGGATAATGAGGATGGCTGAGAATCAGGAGCTTGAGAACTCCTTAAGCCCACCTCTTAATCTTTGGCTGAAGAGCAGCAATTATTTATTTTAATCCGTTGTGCTTCAAAATAGAAAGCAAGAAACACGGGGAATTCTCTTTGTCTCAGTTTCTGCAAGGGTGAATTGATTCAACAACTTCTGATCTCCTAGCAGATATTCTACGTTCATGGATGGAGCCTGATCTAGAATTTTGAGTATCTTGGGTGAAAAAGCTGTGTTGGAAAAGTTTGAGCAGCCACCTGTAAGGTTCTTGCTATGATTCCATTGGTATTCTTTCATCCCAGCAGGAGTCTCTCCTCTTGCTGCAGCCCAGGGCAAAGGAGTGGCATGCTCCATAGGAATGCCTTCAGGAGGACACCCCCCTCGCCCCGAAGTAGGCTGGGTGGCATCGTGGGACCAGCATATCAGCAACTTGAGGAATCAAGGATCCCAGACCAGGATATGATACCATGTCAAGGGTAGGTCTTAAGAGTAATGGAATTTAGGGAGGGTGTCATTAATGCTCTAACTTTAAACTGATTTATTATGCTTCTTGGGGTTATATTCACTGATTTTGTCATGAATTGTCTATTTATGCTTACTACCATATTTGTTCCATAAGAGGTAAACTAACTGAAAAGAATAGTTACAATGAAAATAGATATTTGGGAAAGATACAATAGAAGATAACAATAAATATTGTTAGAAAAATAATAACTGTCAAAGTACAACTTGCTGAACTCAGATCTCTAAGTCCATTTATGGTGTAGATGTTGTAAGATGTGCTTCAGATACCTTGGCTTCCTATTCATTCTTGCAGTGAAAAAGGTGCCCTTTCCTCCAAGTGAACACTTGACCTTGTAGGGTTCATAGCATGGTGAGTAGAGAGGATGAATTTCACCAAAGTGACATATTGTTCAGTCAAACATGGTAGGCATTGATTAAACTGACTGGATTTTAAATCTCATCTTTGAAACAATTTTATCTTTTGAACTTAAGTTTTCTCATCTCTAAATTGAGCCAAATAGTACCAGCCTTCCTATGGGTTATTGGACAGATCTTTAAAAATTACATGTGTAGAGGGCTTGTACCTGATACATAGTAAGCAGAAAAGCAGTACTGGCATTTATTGTCACGGGAACTGTTCTAGAACTATTAATTTCAAAAGCCATATAATCAGGGTTCATTCCAGAAATTGTAGGAATCCGTTCCCTCGCTCAAGCCAAGTTCTTGTTGTATCTAGTTTGTATCACTCTGGATAAGGCAGACCAGGTTTCTATGCTGCTTTGGCCTGGCTGATCTTTCTAGACTGCCTATATCAAACTGAAGGCCAAAGCAGGTAGGAGACATCTATCAGAGAGCCTTTTCTTCTCGACAAGAGATACATAAATGAGTGCCTTGTCTGCCCAAACTCAGCAACAAATTCCCATGAGAAGACATTTGTATTTTGAAGCAGTTCCCAATGAACTGTAAAATATATTGCGTACAGACTTAGGGTAACAATTGCAAATTCAACATAACTGCCAGATAGTTCAAAATGTGTAATGTAAGTCAAGAAGCAGTGTGCATTTCTCTTTGCCTTATACCTGCAAAAGGAGCTTGCATTTAGCCTATAATTATAATTAATCATGTTTCATAATTTTCTTCTTGAATCACCTATCACTGGTAGTGATTTTTAAGTCACTAATAATGTCTATCACTTAAGAATGAGAACAAGTGAGGGGACATCAAGTGAGGGGACATCAAGTTCAGAGATTTTTGTGGGTAGAGAGAGAACCCAGCCTGTGGCATCTTTCTTTCCATTTGACACCGTGACAGCTCTCATCCCATATGTCCTGGGTATAAGGATGCTCAGAGCCTGTGCCAGGCACAGGCTTGAACCATACATACATGAATCTTCAGAGATTTCCATGCAGGTTCAGGTACTGCTTTGTCTTCCACCTCCTGGGAGACTTACACTTACTGTCTGCATAGTGGTAGTTTTGTTTTGGTTCAATCATCATTGGGTTTGGAATATTCTCTCCAGCTGGCTGGCCACAAGTATTTTCCTATGTGTGATATGCACCCGATGTTGATAAATGGTGACTCTCAGTCACTGTGTACTCAGCACAATGAATCTCAGGGAGCAATCTTATTCTCAGCTCTTGAAAACAGCTATTTTCCACTCCTGGGGGACTGACCGTCTCTCCGGACTGGAAATGGGATTGGTAATAGAATTTCACAGCTAAAGGCCCTCTTCAAATCTGGCCCTAGCCCGGAGGGGGAGTGAATGAATTTACAAGAGCTATCAGCCATCTGCTGCTTGTTTATCAAGCGTGTGGGTTCTGTCTGCTAGTTAGGCTCCTGGTACATATGACTTCCCTCCTTGGTACTTACTTCAGCCCTGCTTGAACCCAGCACATATCTTAAGGAAGCCTGATGAAGGAATGAGGTGGAGAGAACATTCTTTCGGAGCTTCCCTCCCCCGATCCACCCCACCCCCATTGATGGACCCCTGACAACCATAACAATAGCTTACAGAGCTTTATCAAACTAATGTATTCATATGCTAGACAGAAAGAAATGGAATCACAGAACTTCAAAGTAGAAGGATCCAAACCATACTGCATACCTACCTCACTTAGCTAGCAACTTCACAGACTTAAGTTATCCTTTAGGAATTTTATAAATGAACACACTAAGGATAGTAGTAGTAGTTTAAATAGCTAATGCAAGGTAGCATATTCTATGTAAAAGAACTAAGGTTGAATACTAGCATCTCTGACTAATTGAACCACTGAACCAGGAAAGAAATGTGAAGAAAATCACATTCATGGATGATGATGTGTAAATGGAATCTCTAAGTGTATGGCCCTGGAGGGGAAAAGGAGGTTCTTCAGTTTCGTCAGTTGATTCTAATACCATGTGCACCAGGAACCAGGGCTTGGAGTCCCCGACAGAAACACAGATTCCTTGGCCTGACCTTTGAATCCCAGGGAACCAAACCAAGTGACTAACTGTTGGAATTTTTCATCTTTAAAAGGACGCTTTGACTCACTCACATAGTTACAAGTGAAATACACTTGTGATTTCTTTGGTGAAGCATCTAAGGATGGGCAACTCAAACTAGTATTTTATAGTCAATGAATGACAAGATCATGGATCAAAATTGTGAAAGAATCTATGACTCTTAAGGGACACAAAACTTCTGATACAGAATCACGTTAGAAATTTAGCTCTTGCTTAAACTTCCAGAGAGTAGTGTAGCTTTTGTCAAATACCAGCACTGGGACCCTCATAGCAACTCTGAGAAGGAAGAGAGGATTCTGGTTGAATAGTGTGGATCTGGCTGAATAGCCCAGCGGCATTACTTCAGGTAGTCTCTAGAGGAATCCCCCTAGGTTACTATTCCCACCTGTTTTAATTAATGAAAAAAATTAAAGTGAGGCTCCCACTGATCTAAGATTCCAGAGCTTGTAATGGTGCTGGGACTTAAAATCATGTCCGATCTACATTATTGGAGAGTTCTAATTGTTTGAGGTGCCATCTCCCTGTTATGGTAACATTCTGGATTTCAGTTATTGCCAGCCATGTGTCCCATACCTGACTTATGAGGCAACAGATAAGTCAATTCAACTTCAATTCCTCTTTCTCACTCAAGTCCTTAATTTAGAAGGCTGTCCCTGTATGGCTTGAATTGCCTTTGATTACTTCATCCTCATGCCAGCATAATCACAAAGATACAGTTTACCAAAATCCTCTGAGATATTCATGCCTCCACCCAATGGTTTAACAAGTAATGTTTAGATGCAGGTATAAGAATTTGCACTTATCACCATCACATTTCAACCTGTTAGATTCTACCCATTGATATACCCCGATTATCTATATGGAATACAATTTTATCCCAATTCTATTTCTTGGCTCTGTGAATGCAATAAGCAGACATCCTATATCTTCATACATATTAATAATGCTAACAGGATGGCACTGAGGAAAGAACACAAAGCCCTGAAATCTGCCCCCTTTTTTCTTGCTGAAATCAAGTCATTGATCAGAAACTTTAGGGTCAGAGTTTCAGCCATCTAACACTTATGTTAAATGAATAAGACCACCCAGGGAATTGCCTTGTGCATGGCTATACAATTAGATTGTAATTGTAAGAAAGATTATACATCCATAAAAAGGTGTTCTAGTGCACCTTGGGATGCCTACCCATTTCTGGCTTTGATAGGAAGAATTTCAAGAAGACAGTTTGGAATTAACTTGTTCCTCTACTGCTTACCAAAGGTATAATTTGAGGAAAGTTCTTTGAGTGCCCCTTAATCTAGTTTATTCATCCACTGCATGTTAATAATAATAAATAAACTTGTTTTTTAAAAAATTAAATGAGGTAATTAGACATAAGCATGCATTTAAAAACATTTTGCAAATGTCAGCTGTTATTATTGTTTGAAACGGACATTAACTGGGATATAAAGGGAACATTTACCTTGGAGATTTGCTCTTATATTCATGCAACCCTTCGATAAGGTTTATTGATTGCCAACTCGATATCAGGCGTAGTAACAGAGGATGGAGCTGCAAAGACACATAATTTGTTCCTCATGCTTTTTCACTGTCTAGTCAAGAGACAGTCTTCTGAATTGCTCTAACTTGTGTCCTTACAATAAAGACCTCTATTTAGCATGCAAGGCACTTCATTGCATTTATTCTTTCCATTTATAAACACGATACTTATTTACATTGTGATGTAAGACAAGGCGAATAGGATTTATTATATACAGGGTGGTTATGTTTAGATTATGCTTAAATTTTAGTGTTCAATTTAATATTTAAATTAAGGACAAATAACCAAGAGAATGGAGACTACTATTCAAGATCCCAGACCACATTTCTGTGAACCTACAACATACCTGCCCCGCTTTCTGGCACTGGAAAATTCACTAGCTGTGAACAGGCAATGAGGGGACTAGCCAGATCGATTCTGGCATATTATTCAAAGGAATGGCACTTTGGAATGGCCCGTTGGCATTCTTATCAAACTGTTGCCATGCACCAACATAATACCTAAATTGGCTCCAGAAGCCATGTGAAGAAAGTTGCTATATATTATCTATATAATGGATCTCACTCCATGTCCATCCCCAGAGAGGAATCATATGCCTCCATTCCCATTTGAGGACTCAGCAGTCTGGCAGTGAGGCAGTTTCTACAGAGTAGAGCACCAGTGAAAAATTGGATTTGGTTCTCCTAAAGTCAGTGTGAATCAGTAAAACTCAGGACAAAAGTACCTTGATGCTTGATGTCGGGCTTCCTGTTTACCTCCAACTAGTGTGGCCACGAGTCTACAGACTAAACCAGGGCTGAGAGGGTGGTCACATGGATGGAGTGGAGTAATGCCGTTATGGGTTTCCTGTTTGTCACTATGGAAAGGCCACACTTACCTGCTCAATCCCCATTTACTTTGTATTCTAGGATAGAGGTCAGGAAGACTATACCCCACCTGCCTATACAGCTGTGGTGTGTTGAAAGATCCCTGGACTTCAAGTAAGAAGATCTGGGTTTGAGTCTCAGTCTGTCACTTATTTTCTGTGTGACCTTGGGCAAGTCACTTCACCTATCTGAGCTTCAGTTTACTTCTCTGTTTAACTGGGAGCATATTATCCGTCTCATGGGGTTGCTGTGAGAATTCAGTGAGATGGTGCATGTGGAAGTGCTTTGTTGACTGAATATTGCTCTAAAGAAGCACAGCAGAAAGCAGAATATGTAACACTTGGTTTCTTTTTCAGGTATTCATCCAATGGTTTAAAAACCCAACAAAATGCATCCATAAATATGCAACTGCCTTCCAGAGAGACAAATTCCTATTTTAATAGCTTGGATCAAAAGGACCTGATGGGATATTCATCTACAAGGGCCAGTTCTGTGCCCATCATCCCTTCAGTGGGTCTAGAGGAAACCTGCATGCAAATGCCAGGGATTTCTGAAGTCAAAAGCATCAAATGGTGCAAAAACTCCTACTCTGCTGATATTGTCAATGTGAGTATTCCAGTCAGCGATTGTCTTATAGCAGAACAGCAAGAAGTGAAAATATTGCTAGAAACTGTCCAGGAGCAAATCCGAATTCTGACTGATGCCAGGCGGTCAGAAGACTACGAACTGGCCAGCGTAGAAACTGAGGACAGTGCAAGTGAAAACACAGCCTTTCTCCCCCTGAGTCCCACAGCCAAATCAGAAAGAGAGGCACAGTTTGTCTTAAGAAATGAAATACAAAGAGACTCCGCATTGACCAAGTGACTTGAGATGGAGGAATCTGTGCATTCTATGCTTTGCTCAACAGGAAAGAGAGGAAATTAAATACAAATTATTTATATGCATTAATTTAAGAGCATCTACTTAGAAGAAACCAAATAGTCTATCGCCCTCATATCATACTGTTTTTTAACAAAATATTTTTTTAAAGGGAAAGAAATGTTTCAGGAGGGATAAAGCTTACAATGAAAGCTTTTGGGTAGAATTCTGAATACAATTTCAGTTAGTCCCAACACCGGCCTCTTTGGCTCTTAGTAGATGTGGGTAATTCAGAACTTAGCCCCAAAGCACCAGTGTCCTCATAAAAAAGCACTGGCAGTTACCTGGTTTCAAAGAGATGAGCTGTATCCTGAGGGCGGACATGCCAGTGAGCAGGTGGCCCTTGCCATTTGGCTTGCCAGTCCCAACCCCTAAATTTCTATTCACTCGACAGCCTCATCACAGGTTATGTCATGTCAACAAATGTTTTCTATTTCATTTTTGAAGAATGGCACAAAAACTCGTGAAAGGGGAGGGCAGGAGATAGAAGGAATAATTTGGGGGCAATCTTCGCTACTCTTATGTGCCAGCTTCCTCTGAAATTTGAAGGCACAGAATCTCAGAGGGAGGTGTGAAATTATTATAGAAAAAGACAAGAAAAATCACAACGTCGTGTCAGTAAAATCATGCTAATAGAAGTGTTTTTCTTTGAGATTGTTTAGGGGCTCCAAAGGAGCATTCTCAGTGTGTGTGTGCCCTGTGGGTGTGTGGGTGTGGGTGTGTGTGCGTGTGCGCACAGGCGCGTGTCTGTATGTGCTTGCTCACTTGAGCACAGGTATGCTGTATGCACATGTGTTCATTGTGTGTATGTGTGTGCATGTGTGTGCATATTAAGCTTGCTAAAACTTGTTCTGAAACATCAGGGAATTTAATATTCAGAAGAAAATTTTCCCTCTCAGATCTGTTCACGTTAAATTTATACATTCAGTGTAAAATTCAGTTAGTGAGTTCTTAAATCAAGGTCACTTGCATGGCGGGGTCCTTTAAAACTCTTGACAATGTCAAGATCATTTTCTGGTGTGAATACTTTTGAGAGGAACAACTATTGGCTCATTAATGATATCAGTATCACAAGGCAAGTTGAGGATGTGTGTTTACTTTGAATCATGCGTTCTTAAATTATTTACACAAGCCAATTATCAAACGGACAGTTACCCTTTGCTTTCTAATCATCCTCATTATTATTTATTTTGTAGCAAGTCTACTATTTGTGGACCAAGACATTGGCTTCTGTGGTTAATATGGAAAGAATAAATTGTTAAAATCACAAAGCCCAGACTTTTCAGTTCACAGGAAGCCCCCAAAAGAACAGTAAATTGTGTTGTATGTTCATTTGGAATAAAGCAATATTTTTACCACTGCTGAGGTGAACTGAAACTTCTCCTGAAGATTCGTCTGTTTTATTTACCCTTATTTTCATGGGGCATTCAAGGAAATTAGTGTTCACCTAACCAGTCTTTTCCAATTATTGGTGGTGTTTTGTTATGTTTACACTGTTTTAAATAAAAAGGCACAGTATTTGAAAGTATACAAAAGATTTCTTTTACTGCAGTCTGGGAAGACTTTGGTTGAATTTCCTTGTGGAAGATTCACATTACATTGAAAGGGAATGTAATATCTGAATCAAATATTGAATATATACAATTCTTTGAGTTTAAGTTGTTTCTATTGAAAATACATTGCAAATTGCTCTTTGAGAACATTCTTTAATAATAGACATAGGCCATGCAGGGGAAAGAATCATTGTGTTCTTATCAAAACTGTTTAGTGGAACTTCAAGGTCTCAAATGTTGAAAAAACACTTTGGTAGAAATGCATTTTATACTTAACAAAAAAGGTTTTTGTGTTCAATAACTGTCCAGTTATATTATTTTGAATATAGAGGTAATGCTGTGAGATTCTTAAAAGATTATTACAAATTTTTAATGTCTAGATATTCTAGGTTCCCATTTAAAACATTGTATCTTTGGGAATATTTCAGAAAGGTGGCATTCATTTCCAAGTATATAAAAACTCTGTAAGTTGCATATCCCCAATATGTTAATATGTTGAAATTTATCACTTTTATCAAACTAACTGGAAGGCTTCACAAGTCTTTTGAAGTCAACCTTGTTTCTTGGGTTCTTCATGAAAATGTTACCTGTTGCATACCTAAAGGATTCATACAGATTTCACCTAATTAGCAGGTTATAATTACGTGACCTGAAGCAGTCAAGTCAAATATTATTTACTCTGAAAAGATTTATTGTCAATCAAAGTTGAGTCCCAGTCCAACCCCCCACTTTCTTTTTTAAAGTGGAACCATACATTATGTGATTATAAACACCTTTGTGCATCCTGATGAACATGAATATCAGGCGTATCCACTGGCGGTCTGATGTAGTTTAGAGATATAGTTACTTCCTAATTGATAATCGAGACAAAATATTCCATAAAGCACAGACATTAATGGTTATTTCAGTGGTCATTTGTTTCCTTTTGGAATACGAAGCTCTTCTGTGGAAAGCGCCCAGGCCAAAATGCACATCTTTGGGCAGCAGCTGACAAGTGCTGATAGCATCAAGACTCAAAGTTCATTAAACATGGCAAACACCTGGAGCCATCAGTACCTTGTCCTTCAAGCTCATGGGCCTACAAAGAGGTGCTTATTTCTACAGGACACCTTTGATTTACTTCATTTTCCTTGTCTTTATTATGTGGAGATATTTGGAGATCTGTGATTAAGTAAGTTGCATATTAGTTATTTACTGAAGAATGAATGTTACTCATTAATTTTTTTTTTACTCTGAATCATTTTCTGGTTAGTATTTTTTTGATATATAAAGTATATGTTATTCTAAGTTGCCAGTGACTGCTGTGGAACGCTATTATTCAAAATATATAACCAATTTATGCTAATGAGAAATAATAGAAATGATGTTGAATTGGCATCCAAATTTTCTCTTTGATTTTTTTATGTACATTATTAAATGCTCTGGTTTACACTCTAATCCAGTATTTACCTTGCCATGAGTTAAGGACTTAATGTTTGTCAATTTATCCCATCTCCAACGATTCACATCATTTCTAAGTAGCAATAGTAAGCTCTTCTGCAGGAGGAACACTACTGATTTTAAAACTTCACAAATTAATCTCTTTTGATAATAATGGTAGCATATCAGACTTACCAAAAAGAGAAAAGGAGGTCCAAGTAGACTTCAAGAGAGTGCCCACTGGCTTCTGTATTAAATGACAGCTGCAATTTCAGTGAGTCCTCTGGCGACCATGGCAAAGGCTGTCAATGACCAGGTCTCCACCGGAATCCTCTTGATGTATGCAACAGTCACGCATACCCATCTGCTGTATGGTGCTACAGGAAACCCTGGCTCCCTAAGTGAGGGGAGATGGTGGTTCCTTTGATCCCAGCCCTGTAAGCCAGAAAATAGCGCCCTGAGACAAGAGCTGTGAAACATTTCCCCAATGAGGAGTTAGTATACTTAGAAGCAGAGCAGGAGGGGTGGGATTTTTATTTGATCTTTTGGTATCTGGGAAACATTTTATATATAAAGAATACTTTTTTATTATTCAATTATATAGATTCAGTATAGCGTATTCGATGATAGCACATCTCTACTGTGTTTGTACTTTAGTCTTCAGAAATTCAGATTTCATCCAGGAAAGATCAGCACAGTGTTTCTGGGCTGTTCTCAATTTTAGATGCATCCCAATATGTCGTGGGAAACAATGCCTTTAAATAAGCTTTATCTCTTCCTGTTTTATTTTTTCTTTCCCTTTTAAAGAAATAGTGAGGGTAAAGGAAGAAATTGGTTCCTTAAGATCCACCTTGTTTTCTTATAATAATCTGTTTTCTACTGTGACTACACACACACATATATACATATCTGAATGTATATGTATATATATAATATATATGAAATTTAGGTGTTTATTTTGTTAGCTTTATTTTTGCTTAATTTGTCAAACATTAAGGTGAATGCCAATGAAATCAAACCATTTAGAGATAGGCCAATTTTGCAATATTTAGGTAACACAAGGATTTTCCAGATCTTTCTCTTTCTTAGGTAAGCAGAAATATCCTTGGGTTTGAAAATTCACAAGACCCTGGAATAAAATCTCTTCTATGTTATTTCTTAGACGTGAAGATTGAACTATGGGTATATATGATTGCTGTCCATATAGCTATAATGGTCTCAACTATAGTTTTTACAAATAAAACCATAAGTTCTCCCAATGGTGCCTACACAGGTACCTTTGGCTTCTAATGCCCACGGACTCTAGTGAGGAGCTGAGGTGAAGACAGAGTGGTGGCAGGGGTGGGAGTGGGGATTGAATATTACATGTTAATATTGGAGTCCCAGTGAAGCTGTGAAGTTAAAATCAGAGGTGACCAGACAAAATCTCAATAAAATAGAGAGAAGACTTCTAGTACTTTGAAAACTTCTTGTCCTAAATATCTATATTGATTGCACAGGTATTGTTGCCTATAAAATAATTGTGCAATAGCAAACAATTTATGTTGAGAGTCATCTTTGTGAAAGCTTGTGACTTGTCTATACACACTAGTAACTCCATGACCCCATCTGTCAAATAAGGAGGATGATCTAGTTCATCTTCGATTTCCTTCCAAATTGAATAATACCCTGTTATCCAACCATTATAACTTAGACTTTACCTAGTCATTTGTCATCCATTCATTTCAACACAACCCCTCAGAAAGTTAATAGATATGTCTTGTAAGTCTTAAAAATTATTGGAACCTGTATATCAATCTATAAATAAGACTTAAATTTATAATATTCCATTTAATTTCCATAAAGAAATAGACAGGATCACCTTTGTCATTTTTAAAGTAAATTTCTCTAGGACAGGTAATAAAGAAGGAAGGGGATGGCCAAGAGAATACCTAATTTCAAAGCTTGAGCATCAAAATTCACCCCAGATTTTTGGAATAAAATTTGCCTCAGATTTTTTTTAAAGAACGTGTATGCTTTGTGAACCTTTATCAAAGCCTGTGTAAGGGGTGCTTCAGAGAAGGCATGAGACTTTGAACATATTCTCTTCTCACAGACAACAATGACACACTCTCACTAGATACACAGGATATGTGTTGATATCCTCAACATCTCAAACTCCTTTACATAAACCCTCCAATTAATAGTGAATAAATTATCTGGGGACAATTCTACATTGTTGGACATAATCTGCCATTTGGGGGGCACAATAGACCAAAAAATGCAGAGTTTACTTCTTTAATTTTGGTTTTAATTGCTATTTCTGACAAATCAATATCAATTTGCTCTTCCAGTAGCATCCTGACTAGGACTAACATTCTTCCATATAATTTTTCTTCATCAAGAACCCAAAGTCTGAATTTCTTAGTCTTCAGTAAAACAATGTAGAATGTTAAAATACGTGAATCAAAAACAATAAATCTCTTTAAGTTGTGCTGTGTTTTTAAAGTTACAAGGATTCCATTTAGTTATTTATAAAACCCAGAAAAATGCACATTTTTTAAACTTTTGTTATTATTTAGATATCTGATGAACCATTCACATAGCCTTGTTCCACGTTAGATTGATACAGTCCTTTCTGAAATCAGCTTAAATTGAAGGGCTTAATCACACACACACACACACACACACACACACACACACAGCATGCTAAAATTCAACGTTTCCTCCTTTTCCTTAGAGTTTTCTCTTACAGCTTACCCAAATGTGTCTAAACTCTCATGACATGGATGTCCTTGGATTCAAATATGTTTCATAGGAAATGCACACAGCAAAAATAGTGATTCTCTTTTAAGCTTTGTTCCATACAGCCTGATTTTGAATCCTGTCTTTATCAGAAAAGTCTGGAGAGTAGATACACTTGTTCAAACTGAAATAAATGGAAGAACACACTACTCACCTTTAAATTGATAACGCTTTTAAGTGGCCACTGTGTATATTTCAAAGATAATTTGAGGGAAATACCTTGACTCCCTCTTATTTTTTTTTCAAATATCCAATTTTACATATTAAATCTAAATTTTTAAAAATCCCCTGGTTCTTCATAATTAATATATTTTATTAACTGATTTAACCATATTTTAAATAAAGTATATAAGTCACACGCAGAAGAATACATACAGCATGGTCTGCATGTAGTAGTTATTTAAAAATTAGAAAAAAAAACCAGGAACAATCTCTTGTGCCTGTGATAGTGGTTTTGTTTCAAGGAGCATACACAGGTTTCTTTTTCCAAGAAATCATTTCAAAATTCTGTTCTCTGTGATGTAGGTATGAAGGCAATGGGATGAAATATAGATGTTTGTCCCTTGACACGCCAATAAATATTGGTTACATTATGTGGCACTTTATTTCAAGGCAGATACACCATACTGCTTATTAAAAATCATAATATTAATAATCAATTTAATAATAATCTTGACTTTATGATGTAAGTTTTCCTCTGTGGAGGGACTCCTTGACTACCATTTCCCTATTGTAGTCTTTGATGATCAGGA